ATGTGACCTTGGGGGTAGAAGTGGGTCTCTGTTAGTTCTTGGAGTGACCAATATTCTTACACTATCCCAGCTGGGCTCCTATTACAACTGTGAATCCATGGTCCCCCAGGTTGGTTCTGATACATGAGGGTTAAGGTCATTTGCAGAAGAAATTTCTGGAGTTGTGGGTCTGATCATAACTGGGAGTCTGTGTTCGGCTTTTGCCAGTTCAGACAGTGTGGGAAAGGCCCTTGTTAGTGTGAGTTTATGCTCAGCTTTCTTCCCTGGGACAGAACCTATGGAAACACAACTCAGAAGGTTGTTTTGACAATAGCTAGTTCCTCTTAGTCATGTTTGATGCAGTCAGTAGTGGGGTCTCAAATGCTGGTGGGTTGATGACCTTAGACCAGTGGTTCTCAACCTTCCTAATCCTGTGACCCCTTAATACAGTTCCTCATGTTGTTGTGACCCCCAAAACTAAAATTATTTTTGTTGCTACTTCATAACTGTGATTTTGCTACTGTTGTGAATTGTAATTTAAATATCTGATTTGTAGGATAATTGATATGTGACTCCTGGGAAAGAGTCATTCAACATCCCCCACAAAGGTCACAACCCACAGGCTGATAACCCTTACCTTAGACAACTCACAGCACTTTATTTGTTCAGGCATTCAACATGCAGACATGTAACAAACCCATTGCCCTAAACATTAGAGATATAGAGATGAACGCATTGAAGGCTCATATATATTTTTAAAGATTTTATTTATTAAGTATACAGTCTTTTGCCTGTATATGCCCTGCAGGTCAGAAAAGGTCACCAGATCTCATTCAAGGTGGTTGTGAGCCACCATGTGGTTGCCAGGAATTGAACTCAGGACCTCTGGAAGAGCAGTCAGTGCTGTTAACCTCTGAGCCATCTCTCCAGGCCCCTGAAGGCTCATATTTTAAAGTCTTGATCTCAACAAATGAGCTATGGAAAGGCAGTAGAACCTTTAACTAATGACAAGAAGGTCTTTGAGTCACTGAGGATGTCCCCTTGACAGGACTAGTGGAACACATTTTCTTTATTTTTTTTCCTTCCTGGCCATGAGGAAATCACTTTGCTGTGTTGTGCTTATCCTCCCAGAGTACTAGCGGAGGCCTGCAGACAATGGCTGGACACTGGGAGTCCATGATGAAGTCAGTTACCATGGGTATGTGTTTGCTGGACAGAAAGCTGACTTAACACAGAAGAACCAAGCAGTCAGTCAAATGCTTCCCAAGGGGTCACAATTGAGCTGAAACATGGCTGTTAGGAAGCAGCTAGCTACAACAACGTCTAGAATAGGAGCCTTTGAGATAGAGTGAGTATCTAGTACAGAGTTCCGTCATGGGGCTGAGGGTTACACACACACACACACACACACACACACACACACACACGAGTTCACAAGGGAGCCTGCCTCCATACTGGATACTGTGCGTACTAGAAACAGACACAAGACACCTGGACCAGAGCAAAGATTTTGTTTTTCACAGTATCACGTGAGTGGCATTGCTTCTTCACACCCCTTTGCCATGGACAATATTTGGAGGTAGAAGCAGTAAGGTTTACTAATGGGTTTGGATGTTGAGGGGTGAGGGAATGATTGGAATTTAAGATGCTTTCTAAACTGGGACCCCAAGAAAAGGAGTGTGAACTGATAGTCCTGGGAAGGGCGGATGACTTAAAAGTACTACTTTGAACAGGGGAAATTGATGACTGAAAGATGTCTAGGGAAAGGGTATGGAAAGCAGTCTAGTAGGAAAGTGTGGGGTTTAGGAGCAAGGTCCAAAGTTGGAGGTTCACTTGGTAAACAGGCCCTTGGTTGATGCAAGATCTAGACCCTCCAAAGACTGATGTGTCCACTAGAGATTGCTGTCTGTGCTTTCCTCCTTTCCTGGACAGCAGAATCCCTTGCAGCTACTGTTAAATACAGATCCCTGTCGTCTGTTTCATTGGAAATATTGTGATCCAATAGATAGGTAGATGGATGAGAAGAGAGATGGATAATAGATTGATTTTTCTGCATACATTTAATGTACACACAATATTTTTGAAGACTTACCATGCTGCCGGAATTGAGCTTATTTGTGAAAGTTGAGGCCATAGCAGTCTCTGTGGTTATGAGACAAAGGCAAGGGAACCACTGAGTCTATTCCTGGTGGATTTTGTTCTGAATGTCTTCTTCGGAGCATGATGAGGGAAAAAAGAATTCGCTGTTTGTGTAAGCCACCATAGTTGGATTGTTTGTTACTTTTTAGCCATACTTTAGCTTCAAATAACCCCCTAAAAGCATATTCAATTGCCAAGGAAATCATGCTGTGAGACAAGGCCTGATGGGAAGTCCATCAGGCCTATTCTTGACTATTCCACTATTCTTGACAGGCTGTACCCCTGTCAAGTGAGTAATGCTAAGTATAAAAAGGGTTTTGAGACTCCAAGTTGGATCTCTTGCTCTCATCTGTGATGTCCTAGCCATGTTACTACACACAAAAAGATTCCCATGAAACATGCCTTGGCCTGTAGAACTTTGAGTCAAAGAAACTTTCCTTGTTTATAGATGGCCCCACCTTTGATATTTTGTTATAGCAGCACAATATAAATTAAAACTGACACGCATATTATTAATATATAAATTTTAAATAAAATAAAATTAATCTCCTTGGGGAAGAGTAACTTAGATAAACACTTTATTAATTCAAGCTGAACAAGAAAAATTTTGTTAACTCTTGAGTTTCTTAAAAATGTCCAACACCGGAGATCTAGAGACATGGCTCAGCAGTTAAAAGTGCTTGTTGCTTTCCCAGCGAACCCAAGGTCCTAGCACTCACGTCAGATGGTTCACAACTACCTGTAACTCCAGCTCCTGGGGCCAAATGACCTCTACTGAACTCTGAAGCTACCTGTACACACACACACACACACACACACACACACACACACACCAAAACAAATTAAAATCATTTTTCAATTTTCCAACTCTTTGTATCAATGCATTATATTTGAATTTTTAGCATTTCAAATAATTAGCATGATAGCTTACATCTAATTATGCCATTTTCATGTACTTTTTAATTTATTTTGAGAGGGTGTCTTACTGTTGCCTACATTGGCCTCAAACCTAAGGATTCTCTCCTTAGTAGCTGAGATTACAGGTGTGTACCACCATGCCTTGGAATTCTCATCTACTCAAACATCTCTACTAATTCTAATAAAGTTATAATGCATCTGTTTAAATATTGTTGATGATCTATGTCAGGTTTCCTTCTACCTCTCTGTCAGAACTACAACCCAACCAAAACCACCACCACTACCACTATCACTACAACCACCACCATCATGTTCCAAACTGGAAGTTCTGCCTGGTTTATGCCACTTCTTGCATGACCTCATGGGCTCCAGTTGTCTGCAGACACTGCTCACATATTTCCATGTTGCTTTAAAGACACTCCAGTGCTGTTGCATTTGATGCTGAGCCACAGTTCTCAGGTCATGACACATGCCACTCCCCTTCATGTGACTTTTTAGAAACTCTTGAGAGTGTGGTTATAGCATTTCACATTCCATCAGCACTACTGTGTTTAACTTGGCCACACTGCTGCTTGGACACTGTCCCCTCCTGAGTATCCCCAGCACGTTCTCCACACCAGCTGAGACCACCCAGAAGATGTTGGCTGCTCTCTCCACTCTGCTTTTAGTGTGGGAGGTGGGAACACCATGGAGGCAGAGCTGGTGTCACTTTGTTCTAATCTCTCACCTTTAATACTTCTGTGTAGATTGGCAATGGTATATTTCATAATTCTATATTTTCCATAATTCACCCCAAATAATAAGGGATACTCTGTAGGTAGCTGGAAAATTGCCATTATGTTTCTTGTCCTTCTAAGGCAAAATATCCACTGATAACCATATTTCTACCAGTTAGAAGTATTCCTTAAAAATTTAAAATACTCTAAAAAATAGCTTTTCTATTTGAATGTTCTTCAAAAACTCAAATCAGAGACATCAGTTGGTGAAACATCTTTCTGATGAATAACCACCCCTATTTGTCACGTGGCTTAAGGTGGAGCACACATTGGTATTTGAGCATGTGCAATATCCACCTCCCCCAACTTCACTTATCAGAGAAAACACTTTCTCTTCCAAAAGGAGCAACTAAGGAACAGGTAAGGGACTGTCCTCAGTGTTCCTGAGATGGAAATTTAACCAAAACAATGTATATGGTCTACCTATCTTTGGAAGATAGTAGCAAGCTTGCCCTATCCCACTCCTCCCATAAGTACCACAAGCTTCTTCTTTGTCTTTGCAATAAGTTGTATATGTGGTGCATGGTCCCTGAGTACTTTGCCATGTGTCATACAAGTACTGTCTATCAACACCAAAACCACAGAGCTCCCTAGCTAGTCACTACCACCACCACCACCCCTATCCACCACCATCACCACCATCACCACCACTATCCACCATCACTACAACCACCACCACCATCATCACCTCCATTATCCACTAGTACCACCATGACCATTACCACCACTACCCACCGCCACCACCATTATAATGTCCCAAATTCCCCAAAAGACATCTGCCAAAGCCCTTTCCAAAGGTATATCTTTGTGATTTTGTTGAACACGAGAAACCAGGATCATGTATCTTTAGGGACAATGATAGGAAAACAACTAGCTAGCTCCCTGCAATGCTGTTTGCTTGAAGACTCACTCGTTCCATTCCTGTGGAACCTTGGCTTTCTTCATCCTCTCTAGTGGCTGTATACTTGATCAGTCACACTGAGGACTCTCTACCTTCACCATCTCATGCCTAGCTCCCCTGTATGGGGGCTAGGAGGAAGTCTACAAAAGTCCTTTTTGCATCTCAGTTTTTCTCAGTAGAACAGATGAAAATAGCACCAAAGAATTTTTTAAGCTCCATTTCCAGACCTTAGAAAAAAGGTGGTGTGTGTGTGCACGCACACGCTTATTTATACTGTGACAACATAGTGTGCTTATTATTCTGATATTTGAAACTCAGAGAAACTTTGTCCAATACAACAATAAGATGTACATCATTCGGTTCCCATTCTCACCCACCAGAATCTACTAAAGTCACAATTAAAAGAAATGTCATTTCAGTAATGCCCCAGGGACACTTACTTGTCACAAGTGAGGGGAGGGAAAGCACATGTAGAGCAAACTGAAGATATGTGCAGATGTTGGGAACTTGTAGCTATATCAAAGGACCTCAAGGCTGAAGGTGTCGGTTCCTGTAAGTCTAATTCTATTTCAGAGCACAGAAAGGCCATCCTCCTCCCTGACTCGAGGGGGTACCAGCTTTCTCTCACTAATGATCTAGCTAAGGCACAAAGAAGAAAAGGAGGAATAGCAGGGAGAAAAGGACAACAGGAAGAGGAAAATGGGAGGAAGAGGAAGATGCCATGGTAATGACACAGAGGTAAGTAGACTAGCTGGATGGAGAATTGCCCAAACAACAACATAAAGACATGTACACCAGGCCCCTGGGAGAGGATGGGTGATTGGCTAGCTCTGGTAGGTCCTGCTGGAGACCTGTGGCCAGGGAAGTCCCAAAGAGTATTGCTGTTACCTGAAGAAAAGGTAAGTGTGTTTCATGAGAACAAGCAGGAAGGAGATGCTGTGTGTGGTGAAAACCCTATCTCTGGAAAACTGAAACTGCTTTATGGTGGTTGCCAACTCCTTCACCATGGGCAATTTTAAGACATAACTGGTTTAATAATTTGTTTCATAATTCAAGAATATTTAACTACCAGGTTCTATGTGCTAATAATATAAGCCATGCAGTTCATCATGTTCAGATAACTGCCAGCTAGATCATGGCATGTAGACACGCCCCCTGGTTCCATAAGTATTATAATTTAGTGACTTTAATGATTTTTCACTCAAGACTGAATTTCCATGAACTTCAATGGTAGAATAGGTCTCAATGGCACACTCGTAGTCTTGAAGCCACCAGGAAGCAGAGGGTCAGAAGAAATCATTGAGGAGGTAACTCTTCGAACTATAGTAAATTTTCAAGCGTGACTTCTCTGTGTGAATTTTTTTTAGTAAATGAAAAAAAATCACCTACAATTTTGTAGAGGAGTTAATGTGTACCTGACCCTTGACCTCTTGCCCCACGTGTTCACTAAAACAGTTATATTTACTGGACGGAAAGTTTTAGAATGTGGGAAGATATCAGGACATAAGAAGTGCCTTCCCTGTGCACCTGTCTGCAGAGGAGACCTGATTCAGAGAGCAAGAGGAGCCAGCAGACCCAGGGGGGAGAAGCAAGTGCCATTCCAGCACAGGTTGGCTTGCTACACTGTCACCATGATCTGGTCCAGAGCTTTCCGCTTGAGGTCAGGCACTGTGGCCTCTCTGCTGGGGTACCCCACAGGAAGCAACATCAGCAGCTTCTCATGTGAGGGGCGGCCCAGGAGAAGCCTCAGACGAGAACCACAGTTGAGGGGAGTGGTAGTGACGGTCACTAGCCCTGCATTCTGAAACAGGAGAGAACAAACAAGCATTTTAACATCAGGTGAAACCACAGCTCTTTCTCTAGCCCTGGGCCGTTCTCATCCTTCCTACTCCTGCTCACTTGATTTCTTGCTGAAGTTGGGTGGCAATGAGGCTGCCAGCTCAGGTATTGCACTGTGAACCTTGCCTGTGCTCTTCCACCTGCTGCCTCTTTAGACAAGCATCAGGAAACATCTGCAAGAATAACATCTTATTTTCCAATGATGCTTGAGCAATAGGAATGGCTGTTATATGAAAATAACTTTGGAGAATGTAACTATTCTTAAAGAGTGACAAGGATAAGCATAGGATCTAGTCTGTACCTTGTATCTGACCATAGAGCAACAGCGGTCTGACAGCACTGTCCACAGCCTAGTCTGCTATAATTTTCCTGATAGATGTTCGTTCCAGAATTCCAGTTACCCATCTGACTATAATTTGTTATTAATAGTCTTAATAGTAACATATGAACCCATATATTTACAGGGGTCTGGAGTGAATTGCTATGGGCTCTCCTGAAGTCTAACACGTATCATCCTATATCTTCATCCATAAAAAACATATAGTGCCTCAGGAGATCAGACAATCAGTGAAGTAATTGCCTTGCAAGCCTGAGGACCTGGGTTCAACCTTGCAGAGCCCATAAAATAATAAAAACCAAGGCATGATGACACATTCCGGGGAAGTAGAGATAGATGTATCTGTACAAACATACTGTGCCAGCTAGGCCCCTCCCCAACTGTTCCCCCTCCTATCCACGCTTCACCAGTCACCTGGCCACCTTGAAGCCCGAGCCAGGAGCTACCTCTGGTTTTATGTATGGCCATCCCACACCACTGAGTTGCCGTGCTGGGGAACAGGTTCCAGGAACAGTTTTCTCTCTTCCCTCAGTCATAAACTATCTTAGAATTCTGGGAAACTAGAAAACAACAAGCTCAACAGGAAAGCCAGTCTGACCAGCCCCTTGAAGAGACCAAGGGAAAGGGGCTGGCACCAGGCTTGCCCTACTTCTTCCAGAGCCTAAATCAACTACAGAGCCCTATGGCCTGACACTGTCCCAAGTCACCTTCATTTATCTGCCTACAGTGTCAGGAGGGAAAGCAAAAGCCAGGCTCTTCAGGGTGGTTTGACAAGCAGCAACAGCCAAATGTTGTAAGGTGTTAGACATAAGCCATGTCTTTCTCAGAGATGACAAGGAACCTCATCTACACGAAATTGACCCTTCCTTCAAAGTGGGACCACTCTGTCTTAAAATACTGTTTGTTGCATTAATTTGTATGTTTAGCATCTCTCCCTCATCTCTCACGTGAACCCTGAGTCTCCCTCAAATGAACTGTTAAGGAGCTAGCTAATCCTGGTGTCTCCCACAGATGTCACAGGGTTTGAGAGGCAGAACGCGCCTCTGCTCCATTTCATATTTGCAGTAAAGAAGTTTGTAAGCACATGGCCTTCTCTCTGAGGCAACACAGCATAGAGAACCTCTCAAGGAAGGAGCAAAGAGCCTGGTGGCTGCTTAATCATGCCACCAGCCTTGAAAGGGGCAGTATGCCTATGAGAGGAATGAATGGCTGAGAGTTTCTTCTGGCTTTCTTCTCGTATGACTGCTCATCCCTCAAGCTACATGCTATTTATGGAAGAAAGCAAACCCAACAGCACTTCCGTGGACTTCCGACCCTGAGATATTGCAAGTGAATTTCCAGGGAGAATTTAAGCTTGCAGATACCCATCAATCCAGGTTTCCAGGGGTTGTTGTCAATCAGCTACCTTTCCCAGGATCTCAATTTTAGAAAAACAATTCCCAAATGACCTCTAATTGGAAACTGGTCTGAAACAACGGTTCTCAACCTGTGGGTCATGAGCCCCCCAAAGACCACTGGAAAACACAGATATTTATGTTATGATTCATATCAGTAGCAAATTACAGTTATGAAGTAGCAGTGAAAATAATTTTATGGTTGGGGGTCACTATAACATGAGGATCTGTGTTAAAAAGGGTTGCAGCATTAGGAAAACTGAGAACCACTGTGCTAAAGCCACTCTTGGTCCCGTGTCTTGTCTCCCTTGGGCCTATGGGAGGGCAACATACCTGCAGTGCAGCCAGCAGGATGCCACAGGCAATGGACACGCTGATCTCATTGTAGTAGTGGACCTTTTTCTTTCCATTTACAGCAAATCCGTGGACTTGTTTGAAAATGAGAATCAGAACTGGGGCCGTGTCCAGGTACTCCTTAATCCAATTGGTTCTGGAGGGGTAGAGAGATTCAGGAGAATGTTTACTCTGAATTTTTTGTTTTTTCCCTCCCTTTTTAAAAACTAAACTACCTTAGCTTACCTACAATTCTTTTCTTTTCTTTTTTTTTTTTAAGACAGGGTTTTTCTGTGTAACAGCTCTGGTGTCCTGGAACTAGCTCTGTAGACCAGGCTGGCCTTGAACTTACAGAGATCCACCTGCCTCTGCCTCCCAAGTTCTGGGATTAAAAGTATGAGTCACTATTGCCTGGCCTGCAATTCTTAAATACACATTTATTTGTCTTTTCTATTTAAATTGGAACAGACTGGATTTTAATTTTTTTGCCACATTCATTTTTCTATAAGGTTAATGAAGGTGATAAACATATATTAGTGTGTGGCCAGCATGACAAAGCATGCAAAATGTTGAAAGAGACAAAGATCCCATAGCCTTAGATGATCTCCAAGCTGCTACTCAGCAAGGTGAAGCCAGTGGGGTGCTACTAAAGAATTGGATAACAAGTGAATCGGAGCACTCCAAAAGCAAAGTTTTGATTTGGAAAAGCACATTGGAAGCCACAAAAAACGGACTTCAGTTGCCCTCCTAACAGAGAGGGAGAACATTAATTATTTAGATCAACTCTTGGAGCAGAGTAGCTGGCTACATTCTCCCTGCCACTGCCTTGCTTATAAAACCTGCTCCTATGCTCCGTCTCGAATGGTCATCGTGAGGGTGAAGCAAATTAAAATGGAAATGGCTTTCACTAATACAAGCATCACACTTTGAAATCACAGAGATGCTGATAGAAAAGGAGGACCTTGTTTAATCACTGTCTGCACTCACTGCATTTCTAGCATTCAGCAGTCACCAACGATGACACACTCTGCCTTCAGGCCATGGCCAGGCCCAGCAATTGTTCTCCACTGTGCACAAGTGAGCTGAATGCTACCAAGAGCTGCCTGTGCCCCAGTCTGCATGCTGCTATGTAAATTGCATTATGTCTTTGACATTTTCCTGGTTTAAGATTCTGATCATATTCATAAGGATCAAAATTAACCTTAAAATATTTATTTTAATTTTATGGATATTAGTGTTTTGAATGTGTGCATGTATATAATACCATGTGCATACCTGATGCCCAGAGAAGCCAAAAGAGGACACTGGATATCCTGGGACCACAGTTACAGACCACTATGAGCTGCCGTGTGGATGCTGGGAGCCAAACTCAGGTCCTTTGTAAGAGCAGCAAGTGCTCTTACCCACCTAGTCCTTTCTCCAGACCCGAATAAAATTTAGAAGTGTATAAAATATATGGAGAATAGAGGTAAATGCTACAAAATTTGAAAAGATTTGAGGAAGATTAAGTAGCGTGCCTATATTCTAAGGCAAGTTGATTATTCAAAAATATTTTTGTATTTAGTCTGCCTAAGCATACCTTATCAATGTGTCTTTTTTGCTTAGTCTTGGGTAATTCAATTTTATACTAATACATTAAGATATATTAGATCAAATAAAAAGCTACAAGGAGCAAGGACTCCTGAGAGTCGGCTTTTTCAGGTCTGGGTTGAGGGCTCCCCATGCCTGGAATGGTAAAGTTTGAAAGGTAAATTGGACCCACATTATAGAAAAAATCCAGCGATGGGTTCAAAGACAGTTGAAAAGGGTGACTGGGCACATTGTCCATTTTTGTGTGTGTGTGTGTGTGTGTGTGTGTGTGTGTGTTTGTGTGTGTATCTACATCTGTGTGAGGGTATATATGTCTGTGCATGTGTGCCTCTATATACATATTGTTGGTTAAGCAACTCTAACTTAATTGTATTCTCAAGGGGTACTTGATTTGTGTTACAGATTTATAAACAAAAAGTCTATAAACTGAGGAGAAAGGCAAACATAATTAAAATGCCGAGGGGTGGCAGCTACTTTGCACATATGGAAGGTATATGTAAGGATAATGGGCACAGAAGAGGGAACAATTCTGTCTCAGTGACGGGAAACGACCGGGGAGACAATTTCTGAAGGTACCGTGTGCAGCTAGTCTAGTATTTCACTAGATGTAAAGCTCAAATTGAATTTTACTCATCCATTTCTTCCCAGGAATATACAGTAAGAGTTATAGTTTCATTGATAATACCCCACAGTTATCTGAGAACATGGTATGAAGGTATGCACTCCATAATACATCAGTTCTGGTTAAACATCTTAGAGAAAACGGTCCTCTCTCAATAATAGCAGGGCCAAGAGATTCATGTCTCCTTGCTCTTATTCCTGGGCTAGAAGTCCCAGCTCATCTCCAAGCTTGTGATTCACCATTCTTGTCAGTCACCTGTCACTGTGGGGTGTCAGAAGGCAGGAGATAGCACTTGTCACAGAAGGCCCACCTTGGGGAGATATTGGGATTAGGCCTCTCTGCATTCCAAGAGCTGAGCACTTGGGCTTGCCTTCCTTAGGACCTTCTGAGAGGTGAGAGCCAACATCCACCCACCTTGGCCCCTGTCACCCTGATTTCCACTCTGTTTTCTTTTGCAGGGAAGAGTCCACAGTTCTAACATATATTTGATAGCACAGATCTATTAAGCCCTTAATTAAAGCAAAACATGATTTCCTTCGCTCAAGATCTTGAAAAGCATGTCACAGTTTTATGTTCCAGACTGGTGGAAAGTGAAGTAATTCTTCAGTTTTTGCTAAGAAGTGATTGTTTCTGGGATAGACAGATGGCTGGGCAGTTAAGAGCTCTTTCTGCTACTCCAGGGGACCCAAGTTCAGGTTCCAGTGGCAACATCAGGCAGCTATTAAGCTCCTGTAACTCCAGCTCCAGGGGATCCAATACCTCTGACTGCTATGGGAACCTGCAAATACACAGCCCCCCCCCCCGCCACATACACATGCATAATCATAACTTAAAATATAGGAAAAATCTTTAAACAGTTTTAAAATAATTAAGAGAAACAATTATTTGTGTCAGAGCCTTTACAGAGGCCAGGCCTGACTTTTCACAACCACTTTAAAATAAAGTAACAAAACAAAACAGAAACAGGGTAAGATTTGGTCCATGCAGCCTGTAGGCATGTACTTAAATTCCACACTGAGCCATACTAATATGAAATTAATACATCATCAAAATAAGATAATTAATCAAAACAATTTAAATCCCACAGACCCAGGGCCTGCAGCAGTAATTTCATACTTTAGAGGTCAAACCAAGCATTCCTAGATCCATCAGCCCTGTACCTCAGTTTCTTCAGGTCTGTGACCCATCGGTCTCCCATCCTCCTCTTGTAATTTATCTCCTCCTCCTCCTCGATGATCTCTCGGATCTTATGCTTCACATCTGGGTCCTTCACCACCACGAAGGTCCAGGGCTCAGTGTGGGCCCCACTTGGAGCTGTTCCTATTGCCCATTAAATTAAAATCAGCGTAAGACTAAAGACAAGCAGAAAACTGTTCATTAAGAGGAATGCAATAGCAGGTATTGTGGTGATGTGTGCACCTGTAATCCCATCCAGCGCTTGGGGGGTGTGTGCACGCGCGCACACACACACAGGGTTGGGGTAGTGATTGTTGCCTCTTAGGTAAAGGATACAACTGTCTAAGGCATTTGTGTTCTTGGCTGAGACAAACTATTCTCAATGACTTTTGGATTAGAGATGAATGTCAGTGGGTATGCAACAAGTGCCACACATGGACCTCAATGTGGCTTAGATAGGAGGACAGCAGCAGGGACAGTCACAGAGGAGTGTGCAGTTTCCCTCAGTGGAGATGTGAATTCATCTTGCTTCAGTTCACTTTACAAGTCCACCTAAGGAAACCTTGCTATTCTGTTAGTTCAGCCATGAACTAACAGCCATGAAAGACATGAAGTTTGTTTCCTGGGAGATAAACATATAAATATGAACTGAGTGTGGAGGAAGGGGCCTGCTTCAATGAGGGGAGAGATGTTCCTCCTGCAATGGATACTAACCTATTCAGAATTTTTAGTTTTAAACAGAAGTTCATACAATGTATTGACTTCAAAAGTTTTAAATTGTCGTCTCCCTCCCCTGCCCTCAAAAAATAAAAACAAGAGTCAAAATGTAGCAAGTAAAACTCCACACATTTCTGGCCATCACTAACAGTAGGAAAGCCTTCATAAAGAAACACACCACTCCTGCTCTGTCTGCATGTACGGACTTCAGTGATGTTCCAACACTATCAAGGCATCAGGGAAGCTGCCATCCTCCAAGCCTCAGCATACAAATTACCAACCTGCTGCTTTGATGACGTTAGCAATGACTTCCATTGGGATTTGCTCGCTGCTGATAAACCTGACAGAGCGTCTCTTATTAAGGAGTTCATAGAATTCCTGAGATCTCGTCTTCATCTCCTGCTCTGGGTACCGGGTGTGAGAGAACGGGATATGCTCCACAGTCTCCTCTGACTCTTGCCATTCGTCAGCATCTGCAAATAAGAGACAGAAGCACAGCAAATTCAGCAACCTCCCTGGTCATTAAGTCATTGGGGGGGAAGGGAATAAAGTTCCAGGAAAGTCTATATGGTCATACAATGTCAAAATAACTGATTTTTTAAAAAGGGAAAATAAAAAGAAAATAGAGATCTATAGAATTTTGACCACTGATCATGACCAGCCTTTCAATTCTAGATCTGTTATACAAAGTAAAGGAAATTTTTGCCTACAATATATATATTCACATATCAAATGAAAGTTTCTGTTAAATGGCAGATTATTTGACACAATCTTCCATTTGGGTCACCAAATAAGGTGGTTTTTGCTTTATCAAAGCACTGGGCTGACAACATAGTAAGAAATTTCAAAGCCAAAAATGAAGGGAAAATATGGACCTAGAGAGATGAGCGCAGAGGCCTGTCTTTCCTGCTTGTATCTGCTAGTTCCTACAAGTCCAATTTCCATTTCCTGATCGTTGGCATGAAGGACAACCAAAATCAAAGTTGAATCAGGCTGGGACCCTCAAGTTACATCCTTTAAGAAAGTGTGGATTGCAAACACATCACTCATCTTTCAGGGCCTACGATATTTTTGGTGTGCCCTTCCTCTAACTCAGTGTTTCCTCTTGAAAGCACCCCAGCTGTCTAGCAGAAGCAAATGACAATATGTAAAGAATTTAAAACTTCCCAGTAATTCAACAATTCAATCCTGCACAAGGGAGAATGGAGTATCTTGAGCAAAAATTAGTAAAATCAATGTTTACAATAAGACAGGTGTCCTGATGCTCCAAGAATTCACAGGCTCAAAAGCGCAAACAGCTATGACATTATGCTTAGAGAACAAAACAAAACAGACTTATATAAGCCTCTAAAGTATTACTGAAAGAAGGATAAAAGGTGACATAGCAGAGATGAAAAATAGAATAGAATTATTTAGATTAAATTGCTTAGATAAAAGATAAGTGGATGGCAAGTCAGAAAAATAAAATCTAGGACAAAGAGGAAAAGACAGAAAACAGAAGAGCAGGGAAAACCAGATCCAGTTTATTTAGGACCCTAAAGAAAAGCAAGAAACAAATGAGTTCTAGAGTTATAGTGTCCTTGGTAGGGTGGGGACGAGGCTGTGAAGGAAACAGAGTTTGGAGAGAATACCAAAAGGCAGGCTCGTATCTATAGGCCTTTATGGTTCAATGCCTTGAGCCCACATGGTGGGAGGAGACAACTAGCTTCTCAGTTTGTCTTCTGACTTACATACATGCATAACACAGCATGCACATGCATGACAGAATGCATGCACACGCACACACAGAACCAGTAGCAAAATTACAGTTATGAGCTTAATTTTGTGACTGGGGATCACCATAAGATGAGACAGTGTACTAAAGGGCTGTAGCATTAGGATGGTTCAGAACCATTGAGTTAGAAGGAAATAAGTATGATGGAGAGTCATCACATCTACCTAGCTATCAATCAGTTCTAAACAACACTGAGCATTGTCAGGTGTCCATCCACACTTTCCACAACAGTGACACTTTCCAACTATGTAAAGTTGATTCAGAAGACTGTGTGAGGAAGCGGTACAGGAGCAGCTGTTTGAATGACACCACCAGCCCTTAAGACCTAGTCATATTTACACAAGCTATAAGCAGCCCAGGGGCATGGCTGGTTTCCAAGTCCAAGGTAGCTAGCTCTCTTGATGCAGCCCTATGAATCCAGGAGCTGCATGAGGCTGCCCAGGGATAGCTGTTATCTCTGTCTGAGGCAAATAAGGCACCCTGTCACATGCAGGGTTTTCCTGAGTGACTCTCCCAGGTGGTGCTCCGTGGGGCCACAATCCTACAGCCTCCTCTGGGGCAGAAGGTCCCAAGTCTATCTGGGGAATGAGGACCAAGAGAGCACAGAGAGTCTAGCCTAGGACCTCAGCAAACTCCTGTACAGACCACAGTGGAGAGCTAGCAGGGACCTCTAAAAACAAGTAGCACCACTTCTCTCTGTTCTTGAACTTCTGACTGCTCCCAGGAATGTGGCCTTGGAAGGGAAGAAAAAAAAACTCTGAGATTCTGTTTTCATTCCTCCTTTGTTCTAGACTTCTCTGTGCAAGAGCTACCCAGCAAAACAGCTCTATGCCTGGATCCTGGAAACAAACTGCCAGAGTCCTACCTGCCTAGGTAGGTGGTACCCTACTAGAGCCTCAGTCCCCTGCAATGGGGGATAATGGTGATGCCTACCTCATTGTATTACCGTGAAGATGAAGTGACCTCCACATATGACATGACACCAGCTGGCTCCACTATGCTATGTGAGAGTGTGCTATGTTCTGAGAGTCTTGTTGCTCATGTCTTCATCTTTCCATAATACATCTCTCTACCATATTCCTCTTGTCTTTGGGTGTCTCCCAAGTTCTGCCTTCAGCCTTAGTGAAGTCATTAGTTCTCCAACCCCCAAATGCCACCTCAATTGGTGCCATTCTGGCCAGAATCGCTCACCTAACATCATGAATATCTTGAATCTAGCATGCCTTCACATCATCCCCTTAACTGGGTCCTCCTCCCTCAACCACCGATGACACAGTCTGAACCACTTCCTCTGTCTTCTGCAATATCTAGAACCCGATGCTCCTTGTGGTAACTAAGGCATCCTCAGCCCTCCCACCATACCATGATTCTTCACCAAAGCTTAGAACAGGTATCTGTGTTAAGGGAAGTGCTTCCCTATTTACATTGTCTGACTTAGAAGTTTTGAACTTACAGTGTCACAGAACACAACCAGACATTTTCAGTGGAGCATTTGACACACCTCATGGGTATTTGATTGTAAGGGAGATGCTGTATCAGATGATTTGCGTCACTCCAAATTTTTGCACATGCTTACTGGCTAGCTAAGCCATGGCGTTTGGCAGGCTAGGTATATCAGGTGCATTTTCAATTCGCAATATTCTTAACTTGCAACAGGCTTCTCAGGACATAACACCATTGCATATTGATGCATGTCTGTGAGGCTGATATTCTGAGTCGGGTGTCTTTCATCATATGACAATAAGAGGTACACACACACACACACACACACACACACACACACACACAGCAGGTAGCCTCTGGGGAGTGAAGACTCACTGAAAATTAAAAAGCTTCTTCTTCCAAATAGAATCTATTTCTCACACCCAGCTCAGGCAACATGTCTCCAATGTGCTGTGGAATAATCCTTCTGTACACTATGAGGATGTGTTACTCTCATTGTTAACAAAGAGCTGATTGGCCAATAGCTAGGCAGAAGGAGATGTGGTTGGTGAGCCAAACTGAGAGGATGCTGGGAAGAAGAAGGGCAGAATTGGGAGGAGTCTTGAGAAGACAAGGAGAGAATCAAGATGAATATGCCATGCTGAAAAAGGTATCACCATGTGGTAGTGTAAATGTGGGTTAATTTAAGTTATAAGAGCTAGTTAGTCACAAGCCTAAGCTACCGGTTGAGCATTTATAATTAAGTCTTTGTGTGGTTATTTTGGGAGCCAGCTGGTGGGACAAAACTGACTGACTGGCAGGACAGAAAACTGCCTACACAAATGTAGACTGCTCAAGACTCTATGAGAACCCCCTTCCCTCTCTGTCTCTTTGATCACTTCTCTCTAGTGCAAGCCATAGCTAGCTCTCTCTTCCCCACCCCCTCACCTGCACATCCTCCCATCTTCTTGGAATCTCTCCCAAGCATTAAACCATAGATGTGGGGTTTCTATTCCTCTTCTGACATACCCACCCCTGCTGGTCACACCTGTTCACCCTCCAGGTCAGCTTTGTCCTTTCCCAAAGTCCCAACAGGTCCCCAAGTCTTCCCTAAACATCATTTACTAGTTCCACAGTGTTTGTCACTTTCCCTGTTTTATCTCATTCCCTAATGGACCTTTATTTTATGAGCTTGGAGGCTACTCTTGTCTCTAACCCTCAGGGTCTGGCACGATAAAATGCAGCTAATTCCCTAGACATGCCATTTTCTCAGTTTCAACATTCCTAATCAAAACCTGGCCTTGCTTACTACCACTCTAGACAGTAACCACCACCACCTAGAGAGAGACTGTATTTGCCAGAGGAGGGTCTGAGCTGGGAGAGACCTAAGCCTCCATGGCCTTAGACTACATAGCCATGTCCTGAGAGTGGACCCATGTTTGTGACACATCCTTCTGCTTTCACAGGAGTGATGGTTTGACTGCGTGACTTGCTTTCTGTAGCCCTGGCATCAGTTTACACATCATAAGCATGCCTAGGGTGAAGCTCAGGTACTGCAATGGGTTGTTACCTTCTTCCTCGTGGAGGAAATCAGTGCTGTCTTTCAAGTCTTCATCCACCCAGGGGCGAGCTTGAGTCTCCTCCTTCTTTATCTCCAGGTTTCTGTCGGCATTTTTAAAGACCCATACAATCAAGATGCAGACAACTGCTACCAACACTGGAGTGAGGAGAAACATGGTCTGCAGTCTGGCCCGGTAGGTCAGCACACTCCCACACTGGCATTTATACAAACAGAGATGGCAGCAGGGAATGCTGGGAGTGGAAGAGGGGGGTGTGCCAAGAAAGGAGTAAAGTACACACTCTCAAACTCCATGGCGAATTTGCAAAGGAGCAAAGGTCATGGGCTCGTGCATTGGGATTTGGTCCTGCTCCAATGCATGCAGTTTTTAAAAGTGTGCACTTGCTCAATATATTCTCAGACATTAATCACCATGGCATGCGTTAAGCACTGCAATGTGCTAGATCTTGCTGGCAGTGGTTACAAAGGCATTTGACCTTTCTCCTATTTAACATTTCTCTCAGAGTGTCTTCAATCTGCCTGAAGCTAGGAAGTGCTCAGAGAGCTCACTTTTAAAAGAAGAGATTTATAAATATACATTCTGATGTTCTGAAAGAAAGTGTCCAGAAATAAGCAGTCAGAGTGCATTTTTAACTTCATATGTATGAGGTACTGGCCTGAGATGGCATTGTTTTTTAAACAACATCCATGCCAACACATGCAGCAGAGAAGAAAGACTCATGTTTTATGTTAGAGAAGAAAATTAATCTGGAAAAAGTGATGCAAAAGGTTAAAAATGACTATATCTAAACTTGAAGGTATTTTTTGTTTGTTTTCTTGCTTTTGTTTGGTCTTAGTTTTTATCTTTGCCTATGTCTTTACTATTCAGGCTGTCATAACAAAAATATCATTGACTGAGTGAGTTAAATAGCAAAATGTGTATCCCACAGTTCTAGAGATTGGGAAGTCCAAGCCCCAGGCGCCAGCATAATTTGTTCTTCCTGGCTTGTATATGGTTAAATTCTCCCATTGTCCTTACAACTGGGAGTGGGGAAAATCGGGTGGGGAGAGAACTGTTACTCACTGAAAATTTACTATATGGTTCCTACATACTTCACATACTAAATCAGAGATGCTTCACAAAAACCTCACACTGTAGATCTCACAGTTACCCCCATTTTCACTCAAATAGATGAAGCACAAGTAGGTCAGATAACATGCCAAAGGCCAATAGGAGATAAATGGACCATAAATAGTCCCTCTCTATTTGCTGAAAAGGAGCCCATGTTGTGAACTTCTGCAGAATGGACAAGGACTCTTTTTAGATCACAGCCTGCAGTGTTGAACCTGCATGGGTCAAAGTGGGAAGTTAGAGACATGGAAGACGTGCTACATTTGTTTCTTCTGTCTTTGTTAAGGATGTACAGATGAGTTACATTTGTTTAACTATGTAAAGATGTGTTGCTCCTTCACCTTGCCTGCCTAAGGCACCTGACTGATCTAATAAAAATCTGAATGGTCAATAACTAGGCAGAGAGAGATAGTGGGGCTGGTGGGCAGAGGGAATAGGAGGCAAGAGAAGAAGGAAGAATGAAAAGAATGATGGAGAAAGAGGGACAAGCCCAGGGCCAGAAGTCAGGCAGCTGCCAGCTAGTCAGACACAGAGCAGAACATACAGAAAGAAAAGTAAAAAGCCCCAAGGTAAAACACCAATGAAGAGAAACAAGTTAATTTAAGTTATAAGAGCTAGTGAGACAAACATAAGATAAGACTGAGCATTCTAACTAATATAAAGTCTCCATGTCATGATTGGAGAGCTTATTGGTGGCCCAAAAGAAAGCCTGCTACATACATGGTTTTTCTGTGCTAGTACAGGAGGCATTGCTACCTGACTACCCAGACTCATGCTCAGCTCTGGAGTTACAGAAAGAGCTTTATAACATGCTCATCCAAAGGCCAAGAAGCCTTACAAATTTATTTTTGTTGCTACTTCATAACTGAAATTTTGCTACTGTTGCGAATTGTAATGTAATTATCTGTGTTTTCTGATAGTATTAGGTGAAACCCCTGTGAAAAGACAATTCTATCCCCAAAGAGGTTCTCAACCCATAGGTTGAGAACCATGGCTCTAAAGCATCCTGAACTACTTAGTTTTTGTCCTTTGTCCTTATCCAGTGAAGAAAAAGAATGTTGAAGGAAGAAGGTACAGGAGATGGCACTAGGTGTTTTCACACCACCCACCACAGACTGATCATCAGTTTTAATCAATCATTTGGGGGCCTGCAGCCACCTTGCCGACCACACCAGGAATAGTGTTATTGTGGAAGACACACTTTCTCCACAAACAAGTATGGTGCTGATGTTAAATCGATGATATTTGCTTGTGTTCCTGCTTCCTAAAGTCCCCAATTGTGTTTGCAGAAGGCAAAGAAGGGCAACAGGGAACTCTATAGGGAAGAGGCTGCCTGGGGCATCAAGTGAGCTAACAGAGTTCACAAAAGCAGACTGTTGTTATCTTGGTTGAGATCCAGTGCTCAGCAGCAACTGTGAGGGCAACTGTTCAAGAAGAGTTGGAAACAGGGGTGAGCTGAACTCCACAATCTTATCTCAGATCAAATGCGAAGTCAGAGTGACACAAGGAACTACAAGAACATTTAAATGAGTTAGTCAGCCTCGTTTATACATAGCCACCTTCACTAATTCCATCCCACTCAAGGACATGTCTCTACTGATTCATGGGGCTGCCCCATACCTACACCCATTGTGTCTGGGTGTCAATGATGCTTAAGTTGGGCCTTCCTCTGTCTGTATTTTCCACTGAGTATGTAGCATGAACTCTTTAAATGAAACTCCACTCTCCGAAACAAAACCAAAAATGAGGAGCTTTGTGAGGTGGCCTGAACTGAAGACAAGTTAGACCAAGGGTCCCAAAGTGAGACCTGAGGCCACTAACGCACAGCCCGAGGGGATGGTTGTTAGATATGCTAATTCCAGGTACCCTGGGGCAGGGCTCAGCAATCTGACTTCAACATCTCAACCTTTCAACCTCACAGACAAGAAAATACCAATAAGCATCGCTTCAGAGTCTTAAGAATGAAAATTGATTTTCTTAATGTCAAGATGGTAAATCCTGTGACAACAAAGGCTGTGGTTGAGAAAGCAAATGGTGCCTTCTGTAGCTTTCCCTTGAACACTTGTAGTTTGAATAACAAACAACAGGAATCCCACCTGCATGGGATCTCACCACCAAGTAGACAGTGTGGATGACACAGTGCAAATCAGAGGTTACACCTTCCCTCCCCAAGCAAACCACAGATTCAGATCTATACTCAGTCTGCCTCCTTATGTTCCCCGTAAGGAGAAAAGTGTGAGATTTCATGGGCTTGGTGTCGTTTTTAACCAGCTGGGCATCTAAGTGTGCCAGTTCTGGGAGGCCCTGCCCCCTCGCCCCAGGACAGCACTCAGGAAAGAAGCAGAGAAGTGACAGGTCTCAGAGAGCTGGGGACAAGAGAAGCATGTATCCATCCACCATGACTGTCTTTGCTCCTAACGGCATAATTCTGAGCCTGGAGGAGTCCCTAGGGACTTCCCTCACCTGAGCAGTATCCAAACAGCACTTCTCGGGACACAAGCTGGGCCCCGCAAGAAAAATTGTCTTAACTCTCCAATCTCTGCATTCCATCATCTTTTGAAACTGATGCTTTTCCAGGAAAGCACTCAGCCACAGGCAAAAACGGCAAGATAAAGAAGACAGCGGCTTTGCTTGGTGAGTTGTTAACAATAATTACTGATAGCATCGGGTAACTGATGCTGTCCTGAGATTTTCCCTGGGTGAGCCTGGCTTCACTGTGGAAAGCTTTTGCTCAACATTCCCATTCTTCCACTGATACCATGGCTCCCAAGTCCATTCTCCTATCCACCCACGCCCGCTGCATATCAAAGGAAGCCTCATGTATGACTCCCAGGGCCTGATAGCATCCATGTGTTTGTTCAAGTGTTAAGCCCATCAGAGCAGAACAGGAGTAGGGTGCAGGCTAGCATCAGTAATGATGCTAGCAGAACGACTTTGATGTAAGAAAGATACAGGAGCCTTATTCTGCCACAGGTCTACCTGCTCTCTACAGTTGACTTTTGCCAGTAATAAAACCAATATCTTTGAACTGTGTAACCCCTGGATCTGTGTCAAAACTCCAAGGAGCAGAGAAAGGGACATGGAGCAACCTGAGGTAGACATATTTACTGTCCTTATTTTGTAGAAGAAACTGAACCTTGAAAGATGAGCAGCATCCTTGTACGTCTTCATCACAGACCACCATGCTTACACTGGAAACCAATGATGTAAGGAGCATCATCCTGAAGTTGCCAGGGTACCACCTTTTATCCCATACTCTGATGTTTACTTGGAGGGATGTCTTAGGAAGAGAGGTTGTGTGTGATGGGCAAACAAATGTCCACATTTGCAAAATAATCAAACGGGCTTCCGAATATTAATTATTCTTCAGTCCTATTATTAGTGTTTTATTTAACCTTAAGAAAACTTATTTCCACATTTGTTAAAGAGAGTAGAGAAGACCTCATTCAGAGCCCTGCTCCAACCATGTAGGACAAAGAACAAAGACAAGTGGGAATTAGTAACCAAGGGAGATGGCTGGAGGTCAGGGGATGGAAAGTTACTATGGAAACATCAAGGCTATGGGAATTTATTATTTTTTAAAGATTTATTTATTTCTGTATTGGTGTTTTACCTGCATGTATGTCTGTGTGATGTTGCAAGATTCCCTGGAACTGGAGTAATATACAGTTGTGAGCTGCCATATGGGTGCTGGGAACCGAACTAGGTCCTTTGGAAGAGCAGCCAGTGCCCTTAACCACTGAGCCATCTCTCCAGCCCCAAACTAGGGGGATTCTTGTTTGATCAACATAAGAGGCTTTCATCAGAAAACAGGCCTGGGTGATAAGATACTACAATTGGGATGTGAGCAATTTAATTGTGTATTGAGAATAGAGAACTTTAAATGCAACTGACTTAACAGGAATCTTGCCCAAACTGGACTAGACCAGTTGATGGCAGAACCCAGGTAAAGACCTGGTCAAGAAGCCTGTATCAAGCTTATTCAAGGAAAGTTTGTTTGGTCTGTAATTTTCTGCTAGTGTCCATGTCACCAATAAGTGCCATTGTTCCCAACAGAGACACTTACTGTGTAGCCTGTACTTGACTGGGTGAGTGAGTCTCCCTGGGTCAAGGAGAACCCTCTAGAAGTA